AAAAATCCTGCCTGAATTCGGATGGTCGCTTCTAAACGACTGCATTTTCTCAGTGAACATGTGATAGGAATGGCCTCTTTTGCAGGCCGATGTAACTACAGGAGTGGCAGAACAGAGAAGTCTAGCTGACGAGGAGGACGCTGTGCCCAAAGGCAGTCATTAGGTACCAGCCAGAGGCAAAGACTGAGCCGCACGCAAGCGACTCAGCAGGGCCACCTTGACCAGGTCTGTTTCGATGTCAAGAGGCGAATGGGGGACACAGACAGAGGCTGCAGCTCCGCGCGCAGTCACCTCTCCAGATACACTGCTACACTACACTCCATAGCCCCTCGTACTCTGGCAAATATGTTCAGGCACGTGGGCTCCATTTTAATCTGAGACAGCTAATTTATTGAGTAGCCATTATAAGCCTGAGTACTCTCCCTTTTTTTTTTATCCTAAAGATAAAAAGTCACTAACTTTTAGCATTGGTAGGGGTCAAAGCTTCTTCTTAGAATTGACAAGATATATGGCATAGCCTCTAAGGAAGGCTCAGAAATAGTAACCCACAAGAGGGCCAGGGCATCGAAAGGACAAGGTCTTTGCTTCAGCCTATGCCACTCAGCCGTGGCCTGCCTGGCCAACAGGACCAAGCAAGCACCTGTAACAGAGATGCCGAACCAGGCAAAAGCGAGACAGCAAGGTTCCATTGGTTCTTCTTCCATTTTGACGGGGCAACATTTCATATGGCCATGGCTCACTGGACAACTGAGCTGGGCCAGGCAATCATGAAACTGGATTTTCTTCATTCTTTTTTAAGAAGAGATTAAGAAGAACTATATTAAAAGTGCATCAGGCAGGGTTGGAAAGGTCCTCAATAATTCCCTGACAGGAAGCAGTGAGTAATTCAAAGATATGGTGGGCACGACTGGGTACCTTCTGACTTACCTTCCCACTTCTAACTGTATGTGCTAGACAAGTGCTGTACTGGGTAGACGCACTTACCTTTCTTGAGCCCATCCTCTCCAGTGACCCTGTCAGATCGGTGTGGAGAAGAATTATACCTTAAACCCTTTTGCAATCACAGATTGATACAGAATAAGGGGCTTATTATTTACTGATAAAAGCATCTCTAGCACAAACGTTTGGAAAACAGAGATAAATATCCTCTTTTTGCACACCGACACAGAAGACGGAAAGCGTGATCTTCCGAAAATAGCATCGCCCGTAAACATCATCTCTGGCCAGGCAGGGGCTCTCCAAGCCTTCACCTCCTTTCAGGGCTTTAGACACCCTGTTTTCCTCACCAGACACAGACATACCAGTGAGGGCTCCAGAAAATATTCCTTCTCCACGAACTGGAAAAAACAGTACTTTTGAACACTAGTCACCTTCCTCCAGGTCCCCACCCCTGGTATGGCCTTTACCTTCCACGGGGTTGGTTTTCAGTCTACTGCAGAGATTCATTACACTTCCATAGTGGACATCGATCTGGTTTATGGCATCAGTGGAACGCAGCTCCATGAGTTTCCTCAGGTCCATTACTGTGCAGCCGAAGTCCCCTTCACGGCTTTCAACCATGGAGTTGGCCGGCAAGGCATGTTCTGTTGGGTTGGTCATTTTGCCTGCTGTTACCAAGCCCCTCAGTCAGAGAAAACGTGGAGTTTCCCTTCAACCGACCAGGGTCTCTTGCCTTTCCGCCTCACTTCTTCCCACTTCTTGCTTCTTGGGGAGCTCAGGCAGGAAACAGATCGACTGTATCTTGTGCAATAAGCTTCCGAGTAGCAGCTTCTAGCGCAGACCCCTTTTCTGTGTATGAAGCTTGGCAGTGAGAGGAGGAAAAGGACGGGGGAACTGAGTGGCAGCTGGACCTTGGGTCACGATGATTGGTGTCCCTAGGTGGCGATGCAAGTGGTTGTCCAATGTAGGTAGGTTCCTAGCTTAGACCAGCTTGCCCAGATGGAGGTGTAACAGGATGTGCATGTTACCACGGAGGCAACCTTACCAACATCCAGCAACTGTGGTGGTCGAAAGGCAGCAGAAGGAGGAGGAAGAGGAGGCCTCCCTGGATACCAGTGACAACTGGATCTGTGGAATACGCAAAGACAGACGAAACAATTAGGGCAGCCATGGGGATCTGGCATCTGCAAGGGCACGAGGTGCTCAATCTGGCACAAAGGTTTAGGTAACAGTTGATGTCTGAGGTGAACGGATAGCTTAGTTCTGAGCTGAGTGAACTAACTCAGGAGAGGCCAGTTTCTCTCTGGGCACCCCAGACACTCCAAGGGAGATAAGTCATTTCAGATAACACCCCAGTCTTTATATCTCACTCCCAAACCAAGAAACACAAATCCCACAACTTCAGAAACTTGGAAGTAAAAGGTTACGACCTCCAATAGTGCTTATGCTTTTCCTGTTTGACTACTTCATATACTGGGTATATGACCCAGTAACTCCACTCATGGGTATTTACCTGAAGAACGCTATGGTCTGACCTTACCTCTGACAGGTATGATGAGGTCCAAAAGGGAGTCCAGGCCAGAGTGACGTACAGGGCCTGCCGCCCTCCCTCTCTCCCCTGCACGCTTCTCTATTCCCCCCAGCCCCACACTTACAAATCAGGAAGACAGCCACACAGAAGATGCCAAAGTCCTCTGAGGTCCCTCAGAATACACAGCCTCCAGCTGTATGGAAATTCTGCCACTGCTACAGTTGTCAACAGGTCAGGCACTAAGTTCAGGTCTTGGAGCTCAGCCCTGCCCCCCTCCAAAAAGCTTTTGGGGGAAGGGGAGAGTAAAATGCTCTGGCAGTTGGCGATACAGGGTGGAACGCTTTTACATAAAGGGGACAGAGGACTTCTGAAGAGGAAAGATAATGAGTTTGAAGCCTATGAGTGTTAAAGTTGCTCAGGAGTGGCAGGGATAAGAGACAGCTATCAATTCAAATGAAGCCTAGGGCCACAGAAGTTAGCCTGCCTGTGAGTGAGCACAGGAGGGTCTCAGTTCAGCATTTCTTCCTTCAGAAAGGCATGTGTAGAAAAGGGGGCCCTCGTGCACTGTTGGTGCGAATATAAATTGGTGCAGCCACTATGGAAAATAGTATGGAGGTTCCTCAAAAAACTAAAACTAGGTATATGACCTAGTAACTCCACTCATGGGTATTTACCTGAAGAAAACACAAACACTAATTTGAAAAGACGTATGCATCCCTATGTTTATTGCAGCACTATTTACAATAACCAAAATATGGGTGCAACCCAATTGTCCATTGATAATGAATGGATAAAGACGAGGAGGTACATACATAGAATGGAACATTACTCAGCCATTAAGGAAGGAAATCCTGCCATTAGTGACATGGAGGGACCTTGATGGTGTCATGCTGAGTGAAGTAAGCCAGAGAAAGACAAATACTATATGATTTCACTTCTATATGGACTTGAAAAAACTAAGACAAATGAGTAAACAAAACAGAGCAGACTCATAAATGCAGAGGACAAACTGGTAGTTGCCATGGGGGGTGGGCAGGCAAAATAGGCGAAGGGGATGAAGTGGTACGAATTTCCAATTATGGAATAAATAAGTCACGGAAGTGAAAAGTACAGCATAGAGAATGTAGTTGACAATATGGTAATAACTTTACAGGGTGACAGATGGAAACTATACCTACCGTGGTGAGCATTTTGTAATATATAAATGTTGAATCACTGTGTTATACAACTGAAACTAACATAATACTGCATATCAACCAAATTTCAATAGAAAAAAGAAGAAAGAAAAAAAGAGAAAAAGGAAGGTATGTGTTACCTCTCATCCACGCCGACCGGGCGGCGGGCAGAGCTGCATACAGGTAAGGGCATGGAAAACTGAAGCCTGTTCTCAGCCTCACAGAGGACCGGACATGCGTCATGCAGGAGCCGCTGCCCCACGTCACATGTTGAAATGTGAAGGGGCTCCTCCTGAACACAGCACCAGAACACAGGGGCCCAGCCCTGGCTAAACGGCTCCTGCTGGCATGAATTCAGTTACCAGGAGGTGGCAAGGAGCTCTAGTCAGTCAGTCTCTAATAAATATATGGCATTCTCGCTTCCAGAAGGTGAACAAAGAAACACAAGAACCATCAAATGAGGACTTGAATCTTTTATCAGTTACTTTTCTAAAGGTCACATGTGGCCAGAGTTCCCGCGGATGGCACTCAATCCTGTCCTGAGCAGGTCCCGCCAGGATGGAGGAGGTCACATGCCTCCCTTTCCCAGTGCACCCGCCACCTCCACCTTCTACCAGTTTTAGAACTACCTGACTTACAAAGGGTTCATCAAGCAGGATTTTGTTTTGCTGTTACTATTGATTTTTAAACGTCACACAAGGTCTGAAAGGGATGGAGGCAGTGGGCCAAACTCCCTCCCTTCAGACCGGCATAGGGATATGCAGCACCACAGAATTTTCTCTCCAGGCAGGGAAGCAGTGGGAAGGGCTATAGCAGTAAGAAGTCTGTCTTGACCCTTAAGTAGAACTCCTTAACCTTTCAAGAGAATGTTGAGAACAGTTCCGGTAGTGTGCTAAAACTGGAAGTCAGAAGATTTGCCTTTTCTGTCCCCACTTGCTACAGTGTCCCATGAAGGCAGAGATTTTTCACTTGTCTTATTCACTGCTTTATCCCCAGTGCCTAAAAAAGGACCTGCACATAGTGGACATTCAGCTACAATTTTTTTTGGCTGAATAACCAGTAGCAGACTCAGGACCAGATACACTCATGGGTATTTACCTGAAGAAACACCCAGGCACCCTTGGGGTAAGTCACGTGGACTCCTTAGGGTTCAGTTCCTCCCACCTTTACCTGGGGAATCAGCCCTATCTTTTCACATCATCCTAGGAAGTGCTAAAAGGGTGGGATAATCGGTAGAAATAGTGCTTGGAAATCTTACATGGAAGATGCCTAGTGTCCTGCACGGGACACTCAGCGATGGAAGAATTTTATTTTTTAATTTGTATTTTTAATTTATAGTTTAATGTGACCTTAATGAAATAATCTTTTGTTATCTAGCCCTTCACGTAGAAGGGCAATAAGCCCCACATGGCACTGCCATCTTTCCCAACCCCCCAAAAGGATGGAAAATTCCAAGGCAGTTTCCTTAGCAGGAACCATGAAGCAGGTTATAACTATTAGCAGCAATCGCTAGGCTATATACCCTTGGAGCGCTAAGGAACGGACAGGCAGTCAGAATTCCCTGCTTTAAATCTCCCCTCAAGGTTGCAAAGAGGAGAGATTCTTCCATTCACATAGGCGACCAGTGAGAAAAGGTCACTTAAGATCAGAACACACGGGGCTAATAAATAAAAAGCATGAGGTTGTGTGCTTCACGCTGCTCCGGGGACACATGCACAGGGCAGGCACGATGCTGCTGACAGAAAGTCAAAGGGGCAGCGCCCAAACGGGTGCCCCAGTTTAAAGTGGGATCTCCGTGAAAGTTCTTCTGGAATTCAGAGGCACGGCAGGCAGTCCTACTCCCTCTGAGCTCACAGATTAGGAGCTCTCCCCAGCTGCCGAGCGTGCCTGGCCCCTAACCTTATTAGGCAACTGGCAGAGAATAATCTGTAAGTGCTCACACTGCCTCAGCCGCCACACTCAGACGCCAGGGAGCTGCCGCCTCTCGTCAGGATTCGTCATTCAGCTCAGGGCATTCTGGGTAAGGTGAGCTCTCATTTCTCCTTTCTAGCACTTTGCCAGCTTACGGGATGGTAAGATGGAAGAGTGAACTCTTTTGTCCCTTCCTGCAGGGTCAAGAGGTCGTACTACTTTACATGATACGAAATCAGTTAAGTTCTTTTTCCTTCCTGAAGTCCTGTGACATCTGTTCTACAATTTGTAATGACTGGTGAAAACATTGTCCTACCAATGCCGGAGAGGACAGAGCTGTGACCCCCACCTGCCAGACCAAGACACTGAGATCCAAGGAGATCAGAAGTAACTGGGTCTTTGGCAAGTCAGTGGCCTAGACTGCTTGGCCCTTTACTCCTTCCTTCAAGGCTGGACGTCTTCATTTTCCGAGAAACATCTAAGAGATCCTTGAAACACATCTCTAGGGCACAGATAATGCCCATTTCCACTGAGAGAAAATGCTGACTTTTACACTTGCTCGTCTCTTTCAGAATCAGCTCCGTCATCCCCCAGGTGATGAGGGGGAGGCAGACGCCTCCTGCTGCCAGACATCCTGGAGGAACAAGCCACCCCCAGTTCCTGAGAACCCAACCTGCAGTTGGGCAGGTGAGCGAGGTCCGAAATGAGGAGCGGCCAGAGAGTAGCAGCTCACACCTAAGCCACCAAACCGTGAACGACCATCAGTTTCCTCCCACTTTGTCCAAGGCATCCCTTACTCTTGGAGACCTTCCCAGATGCTAAAGACCTACATCTCCAAACTCTGAGGAAAAGGGGTAACTCCTCAGGTAGGGGATGGAGGAGGATATTTTGAGGATCTGAGAGGAATGCACCTCCTGAATGTCCTCTGCCCAAGGCTCCTACTGAGTCTGGCACGATGCCTGGGGAAGGAAGGGTGACTGGAAACGAGGGCCCAGGGTGGGGTGGGTGCAGGCTGGTGCAGCTCAGCAGCAGGCCTGCCTGCAATAATAAGCAGCTACACTCCGCTCTGGCCTCTGGGCTGCAGGTGGGGCTGCTCAGCAGAGAAACTGTCCTGCCCCGCCCCTGCCCTGGGCCAGAGCAGCGGCTCAGGAGCAAGTTGGTAGCACTCTGAGATTCTCTGGGTGGAGTGCCAGCCTCACTGCTCTCTGCTGCGCAGGAGGTCAGGGGTGAAGAAGGGGAGACCTTGGAGGGGTGGAGGAGCAGGCTGGTCCCACCTCAGAACGCACCCAACTGAAACAGGAAACCTGCCTCAGGCCCCCCACCCCCTACACACAAAACCTGTTCTCCTTTCTCTGATGCAGGGGCTCCCTCAGCCCAAGTGAGGCTCCATTTTTCTGCCTATTCACAGGAGTCAGGTGGGAAGGGAAGGAAGTAATATTTGTTGAGCACCTACAATGAGCCAAGGAGTGAAATCTCTCCCCCACCCCCCAACTCTTTCTCTCTCTCTGTCACACACACACACACACACACTATGTAGTGTCTAGCACGGTGGCTGATATGTAGTGGTTGGTCCATACACAGTAGCTATTGTCATCATTACATACATTATTTCACTGAATCCTCACCAACAAAGCTTTAAACTAGTGCACACCATGCTACTGTAGGAAAATACAGATTCAGAGAGCCAGGATTTGTGCCCTGGTCTGAATCCAAACCCCCTTGCCTCAAGTACACCCTGTAAGAGAATGCAAAGAAGCTGTGGATTTACTTCCTAAAGCTTGATAAGAAGGCCCACAAAGCTCTCTGCCCCCTGCCTAGGAGTCTCTGAAACAGCTCAGGGGAATTCTTCCTTAGCTCTTTGAACTTTCTGGGCAGGTGTAAAGCTAGATCCACAGCTACCCGGGGGCAGACAAGACCCCTCCCGCCCCTGAGCCGTGCACATGGGGGGTACGCCCCACCCACCATGTGTACACCCGCAGCCGGCGTGCACTTGGCTGTGGACTGGCCTGACACTCGGCGCATCCACGCCCATGCGGAGATCCCAGGCCTGGGGATGCCACCTTCTTCCGCTCACGTCCTTGGCTTTGTGACCACAGTGACTTTGGCGCGGCACAGAGAGATTCTGCCTTGCCCCTCTCTCCTGTCTCCAGCAGGGGCGTTTCTGAGCCATCACCTACAGTTCCTTAAGCTTCACTCTTTCTCAGGCACTCCCATGCTTCCAAGAGGGCCGTGCCCTGTCAAGAAAGCTGGCAGACACCTGGGCATGACCGGCTGCCCTGTGTGAAACATCCCCGGCTGGCCCTTCTCTCTGAAGCTCTGAATCCCGCACAGAAGCTGCTCTGCCCCCTCCCCATCACAGGTCACATTGCCAGGACCGGGATTCCAGCCCACCCCTGCCAGTTCCTGCTGCTCAGGCCATCCCCTCCTCCTCATCGAGGTCCCAGGTGCCTCTTTCCCTCCCAGGCCTGCCCGGGCTGAAGCGCTCTTCCCACGCCTGCTGGTTTGCAGAGGCAGCCCTGGGCACCCCTCTCCATCAGTCTCCTGAGGTCCTTTGGGGGCAAGTGCAAAGAAGGTCAGGGGCAGAGCATGTCGGCCTAAGCTCAGGCTGTGGGCAGCACCCACCGTCATCACCACCGCACAGCCACGCCCATGCCAGGAAGCCGAGTGAGAGCTGGAGCACCAACACGCAGCTCGGCACAGACCACAGGAAGGCATGCTGTGGCCTGTGGTCCTGGTCCTGGACCTGGAACCTGGTGCTAACTCTCAGGTAACCCCTAGGACCTGGGTTCTGGTGGGTATTCCCTTCCTGAAGAGAGAGCATCCCTTCCTGGCCAGGGGGTGGCAGAGATGGGGTGCCCTTGCTTATCCTTCATCTCCCTGAGTCTGCTGCCCTAAGAGTGCCTTTAATTCAGCAGCAGAACTATAGAGCCAGAATCAAAGCACCCATCTGGAGAAAATGTGTCATGCTTGACCCCAAAGATCCTGAATTCCTTCCTCTTCCCCAGAGCCACCTGGTACTTCTGGGTCAAACTAAGCCTACGCACGCCCGGGACCCAGTCACCTACTCCTGGGTGCATCTCCCAGAGAAATTCCCGTATAGGTTTGGAAGGGGCATGTGCAAGGGGTTCACTGGGACATTATCAGTGGTGGCAAGGAGCTGAAGGCGACCTGGGGTTCTCTCCCCCGGTGATGGAGGTAAAATGTGTGAGCTGGATAACAGGGGATGTTATGTGACACAGAAACCCAGATCAGACGCACACACGACAATAGTGGTGATCCGAGGAACAGTGGTTAATGGGAGGGAGGAAGGTGCTTTAACAGCTTTACACAAGTTAAAATCTCATGATCTAAAGCAATTCTATACGTTTTAAGGGACATACTTAAATAAAAAGATACACATTAGCACCTGAGAATGATGCTGACAGGCAGGGAAAGGAACAGACGTGGGATGTGGGGAAACGGTGAGCACAGGAAGGGCCTTAGGTGGACTGATGATACCAGTGGGCGTGAACTCATAGCATGACCTGCTCAGTACTCCACACGGGAGATCCGGGAAACAAAATAAAACATAGATGCTGGAACCTTCAGTGGAACCCCCTACAGAGGCCATACTGTCCAGGATATGCTGTGGGAATGACAACAAAGCTTATCAGTTTGGCCAGATGCCTTCAGGGGGTGGGGAGAGGTAGGGCCCCCGCATAGCACAAACTTTCTCCAAACAGTGACACCAAGAAGTGACCTATAGGATTGAGAGTCCATTTCTGATCATCTGGCTTATTGAGATCCAGCCCATGTCAGAGACCCCAAGAAGCATCAAGTTGGAGACACAAGGCTTCATGGCATGGGTGGGGAAACTGAGACAGGAATGTGCCACAGAGGGTAATGTCACTCCCTGGCTGCATTCTAAAATAGCATCACTACATCAAGATGAAAAGGGCAGTCCTTCAGGCCCAGAACCATGGAGGATGCACCCTCTTTCAATAATCTGAGTCATACTGACCTGGGTCATCTCTGTGGCCTCCTATGACTCATGGGGTGGGGGCAGCGTTCATAGCGAGCTAGAGCTCAAAAAGCTGTAGAGGATGAAACAGCAGTGCCAACCACTCCCTCCAACTGGTTAAGGAGGACAAGAGCCAGTTTCAGGGGGGAGCAACGATGCCGTTCAGGTCTGTTGTTTAGGAAAGCAGTGCTGGCAGCCTCCGCCAGTCCCTCTCACCTGATCATGTGAATGCTCAGGATATGGGTCATCAAGGGCTTCTGCTTCTCACCGAGTGGGAAGCAGCACCTCGGAGCTGGGACGGGAGGCTGCCTGGCAGCAGAGAGGACGCAGACCTCGGGCAGTTGAGTGTCCAGGAGGTATACCCTCTCAGACAACAGAGCTTGCCTTTCTCGGGGCTGCTTTCTGTGGTTTTTCCACATTTTGGTTCCATGGGAACAAAGGGGCTTTTTAGCAGCTGGACTGGATCTTGCATTATTTTTAGAAACAACTTCCAGCAGAAACATGCCACGCTGGTGGAGAGAGAGGAGCGCCACTCTGCCTTGGCTACTGGGTCAGGATCTTGCTGCTCCTGGGCCGCAGGCTCTGGTGGAGTCCTCATGGGTGAAAGGCGAGCTGTCTGGCCTCAGACTGAGAAGGCTACCTCTCGCCCCCACCAGGGGGTAGGCTGTGGGCAGTGCTCTGTCCCCAGCTCAGCAGGAGAGGAAGCAAACTGACAGCCCTGTGTGACCCAGACACTAGTCAGAGTACCACACAGCGGAACAGCATCACGCCTGGCCGACGCCCCATCACCGCCCTGCACTCCATGCGGTCTCACTGGTGCAGAGAGCAGGCCCTTTACTCTGTTCCAGCCTCCTTTCAGCCCATCTCCTGAAGTCCTAGGCAAACAGGCAAGAGCAGCCTGCTGAGAAGACGGTGCTTATTATGGAAGAGAACTGGGACCCCTCCCTCACAATCTGTCCCCTTGCTACCCAGTGTCACCCCTCCTTGTTTACACATGGCATAGAGAAGCCACTGAGTCAGCCCCGGGCTTTGGAGGGCAGAATGTCCTACTCCCTTGCACTTGTACCATGCTTTAGAGCAGTGGCTCATCCTTGGGGACCCTCCTCAGGGTCCCCAGGAGTGCTGGGGCCTATTGCTGGCCTGTTCCCAGGGCTTCTGATTCCGGAGGCATGAGAACATGGAGTTTCCACCAAGGGGACTCGGCTGCTGGCCTGGGGACCACAGTTTGAGAATGCTGCAGAGGTCATGAAGCGTCTTGCAAACAGTGTCATGAGAACCTCCAACATGCATGTTTGGAGGGTCTCGAATGGGGGCCCAGTCCAAACACCGTGCTCAGACCTAGGCTGACAGGGCGGGCACAGGAGGGTCTTGCCACGTATCCCCACTGCTTCCCCTCCACCTCCTTAGTCCTTCCCAGATGCTGATTGCTGCTTGTCCTCACCTCAGGGCAGCCCCCTTGGCCAGAGAGAATCTGCTCACGATCTGCCCAAGGCAAGCCCCCGTCCTGTGAGTCTCAGAAAAAACAGATTTGAGAGGACTTCCCCGAACAGGCTGTGGCAGAAGCCAAGATTTATCCAAAGTTAAAACAAGCCACTTCATGAGATTCAGAGCAACATTCCTGACACCTTTTGGGGTCAGGTGCAGCTAAGCACCCTCTGCACACCTGTATCCCACCTGCACAGAAGACCAGAGACAGACGGGGTCATCCACGGGTGATGGAAACAAAGAAAACAAGACACCCACCACTCATCTGGGGCTCCCCAGATATCACTTCCGGCCCCCCAGCACATCTGGCCCCGCGGCCCCCGCAGCGGCCCTTGGGGCCAGGCTCTGAGGCCGTGGTGGGGGCCTGGGTGCCGCTGCGGGGCACAGCTGCTGTTTTCCAGTCGGGGTGACAGGCTGCTATAAACACTTGTTTCAGGTTGCTATGGCGAAGTGAGTCTGCAGCCTGGCTACGGTGAAGCTATTTATGTGCCTGTAATGGCAGAGCGGTCTGTTTTTTATTATTTTACTTTTGAAGTTTTCCTTTCCCAACCCCCTAAAAAAGCTTTAAAAAAAAAAAGAGAGAGAGAAAGCCACCACAACTTTCTCAGGCGTGAAAAGAGTGTAACCAGAAAACAGACCTTAGGGGTTGAGCCCGGAAGGGGAAAACTGAAACGGGGAACACGGGTAAGCTCCCCTGAAGAAGGGAATGTGCGGCTGCTCGCCCGTACCTGCCTCCGCTGCAGCTCACCGAGGAGACAGGCCAACACGCAGGGCCTCCTCGCTTCCGCCTCACTGACGTGAGTGAGTGGAGGCACAGCACTTTGTTCCCCTTCTTGCCCGAGCCAGGCTCCAGCCAGCAGTATCCCACATCCTCCCAACTCCCCGCCAACCCCTTCTCCTTCCAGTGTCATCAGGAGGGAGATACCGAGGAACCCGCCAGGGGTCCTGGGAGAGAGACTCAGCGCATGGCCCCCCCACCATCTCGCCCCGCCTGGAGGTCTGCAGGGGACGACCTCCGGAGGTGCCTCTGAAGGGACGCACGTTTCCTTCACTTGCACAGGGAATTTTCATGTCATTCTCCTCAGGGAGCTCTGGGGTGAAGGCGACATTCCTGCTCGGCAGGACTTAAGGGTTTAGGTTGGCGAGGACCCTTAGCCAGCACCAAGAGGTCAGCATTTGAGGTCAGGCGCTGAAGGCTGATCAGATGTAAGGTTGATTCCTCCTTGGACAAATAACGTCTCCAGGGCTCTAGGCACATGGGAAAGGTTTTGGGCAGAGGACGTAGGGTGTGATCATAAGCCACTGGATGGGCCACTAGGGTCCTCTGCCTTCTCCACTTGTCCTGCCAAAAATAATGTACCAAATAAGAGAAAAGAAATGGGCTACAGGTCACAGGCAGCTCAAGAGGGACATGAGTGCGAAGAACAAGCCCACGTGGTAACCAAACACACATGCCCACACCCCTAAGCTGAATGTATGTACCAATTTTGATAGATTCGCTATAGGTTGCTAATCACTAAATGGCATCTCACTAAGAGAGAGAGTCACCTTCCAGAGCAGCTGGTTGGAATACAAACGTTGCTGCCAGATTGAATCATCACTCTTTCTCCACCTTATTCCAGCCCCTCTTGGATTGCTGTATCCTTAGGCGGAGAATCCCCCTCACCACTGCCAGTGGGCATATTAATCAGATAAAAATGAAGTTAGGGCAGCGTTAAGGGCAAATTCCACGGTCTGTTCCGATTCCTTCCAGCTCAGAGTACAGCTGAATGTCTCCCAGATGCCGCCATAGCTCAGAAAGGATATAGACATAAGCAACCCCCTCGGGGAGGAGAGAGGACAGGAGAAAGGGGAAGCTTCTGCTGCTTCCCCCAGGGAAGAGCCTGCTGCCGCCCCAGGAGGGGTCAAAGTCCTGGGTGACAGCCTGCTTAGCTGATAAAGTCTTGCTCGGAAAATCAGAACTTGGGGCAGAAATCAGTTCTGGCAGCACCTTGAGGTCAAAAGAGCAGAGCAGGCATGGCTTCTAAGCCTGTCAAACCAACTGCGGCCAGCATCCCATCATTTCTGAAGGGGAGACCAAAGGGGCCAACGCGGGCCTCCATCCCGGACAGCTGGGAGTAGGCGGCGGGTAGAGAGGCCCCCTGGAGCTGGTGTCCTAGGCTGAGAGCCGTTATTTGGGAGCGTATAAAAAGGCAGAGAAGCAGACCCGTCTCAGAACCCCCAAGGTAGGGTAAGCTTCCAAAACTCACGGGCCAGAAAGAACATCTATTCAAAAGGGCTCAGATCCATGGTGACAGACACAGGGCCCATTGTTGAGAGAGACAAAGGGCAGGCGAAGAGGTGACTCAGCCCCAGCTGATCGCTGCTGAGTGAAATTTGAGGGGAGACAAAGTGGGGGTCCCTGTGTTTTCCTGAGGGAGTAGAAAACTTCCATCACCTATGTGTCAACCTCTGCCTCAGTGTGAGGCCTAATGTGTGGGATTAATGCATGAACCAGCTTCCTCCGCTCCCGGGAACTCCCATTTCTGTGGGAGGGAGAAGTACAGAGTCTCAGAAGAGGAGCCCATCTCCAGAGAGAATCAGTTACTTCTAAGCCCAAGGACCACCCCTTTGGCACCTGCCCTGTCTCCTCTCCTCCTCCTTGGGGCCCTGACGTCAGTAGACTGAAGGGACTGGAGGCACATCTCCATTCCAGGGCTTTTCCGGTGCAGGCAGAGGGAGGTTAGCCATCACTGCAGGAAGCATCCATCCTCTAGGCACAGGCAATGGCAAACAGGAAGACTTTAAGTTCTGCCAACACCCGCTCGACTCTAGACTCCCCAACACAGTGCTTGACGTGCCATTGCTGTACCTCCGAGGAAAAACCTGGGGGGACCATGGTGAGGCGGCAGGGAGCTCTGCAGGAAGTGGCAAACCCAGGATGCTTATTCATTATTTCTGAAGCACCGAGCTGCCAGAAATCATGGGGCAAATACCTAGCTTGAAACTCTCCATCTCCTCATTTTTCCCTCTATACCTCATTTCCAAGCTTCCCACTTTCTTTCCTGTCTGTGCATATTTCTTTCCCCATCCCTCCCTTTCTCCTTGTCCCTCTCTCCCCTCCCCCCATCTCTCTTCCCACCCACCCCCTTCTGCCCCTCCCACCTATCTCAGCCTTGCAGTCTCTCTCACTCTGTCTTCCACATCTCCAGGGACAGCCTAATGGACTCCCATTCTTTTTACCCGGGTAAGTTCTGAACCCAGTCAACCCTGTCTAATCCACATGGGCTCAAATGGTGGAAGGAGAATAGGTGTGCTGAGAAGCAAGCTGGGCACCTGCGGACTGCCAGGCTAGCCCCAGTACTGGGCCCTCAGTGCCACAGGGCCACAGATGACGGGCCACAGGCACATGGGCCTGATCCCTATCTGCACTCACAGCACAAATCAGTCTGTATTCTCCCCGGTCCATCTGGGGCTTCCCAGCTAAGTCAAATATGCAGCATCTAAGTGTGCTTGAAGCAAAGACAAGAAGCCTTTCTCACAGTGCGGAGCCCTAGCAGAGATGGGGAAGAGGCAGGACATGAGATTATTCCTATGGATTAAAACTCAAGTCAGGATTCAGTATGCTCAGCCAAGTTCTCCATCCGGCATAAATGGGGAGGGGGCCGGATGGAGGAAGGGGCGGGGGGGGGTACCAGATCAATGTAAAAGGCCCCTGGGGCTGCCCCTGACTCTGGCTCCTTTCAGGGCTCCCACAGAAGCTGAAAATTCAAAAACAGAACACAATAAGCTAGTCTTACCAACTAAAGGCTACAAAACGGCTGCACTCTTGCACCTCCATTCCACTTGGAGCCTATACACCTGGGTGGGTAACAGATACGTGAATGCTAAAATCCAGCTCCTAGTGACATAGCTGCCTTCGTCTAGCTCTGTCGCTATGCAAAGATTCAAGGATTTGCAGAAGGGACAAGGGAGGTGGAGCAAATGCTTTTCTAACCAGCAGAGCCAGATCTTCATAGGCATCTCACACTATTTGCCTAACATATGCTTCTGCAAAACACTCTTCGCCCAGCTTCTCCAGTTCCCAGCTGCTCCAGTTTCCAGCTTCTCCAGTTCCCAGCTGCTCCAGTCTCACACCGGCTGTTCCAAATTAGTAAGATCTCCGTCACCACGGAATGATCCTTTCCAGAGCGCCCTTCCCTCAGGGTCTCAGCCACTGAACCCTTGCTGTGCAAGCAGCCAAGTTCATAGAGAAGCCGAGGACACACCAGCCCGCTCTCTGCCCTCCCACCTCCTGCAGCCCGAGAAAGAGGACTCCTGCGCGGAGGGGGGCAGGGGGGATCTCCCGCAGCAGTGAGGCCATGGAAACTTTGCCGTCTAAGGCTGTGGAATTCTTCTTCTGGGCTCCTGCCGTTAATCATTCTCAACTCCCTTGATTCCCAACTTGGGACTTTAAAAGGTAGCATCAGAGCAAAGACAAACATATCAAGGAGAAGAAAAAGAGAAAAGTAGTTGGTGTGCG